TGATTGCAATGTTTCTCCACTGAAGGATTTCAGAGCTGCAATAGGACTGAAACCAACTTCTAGCAATAAAAAAAAAGAACATTTAAAAAGTGTCTGCCTTTATATAATTATTTGTTGTTTTCTGTTTGAATGAAGATCAAAGCAGCTGCCACTTCTCACGTGCTTCTCATTTTCTAGCCTGGACAGAAATAATGAGCAAATCTGTGACGCTTTTCCAAAGGAGAGGACGGAGCATAGGAGGAGTTCAGTGCAGAATACAAATAGCTGCAGCCCTTGGCAGTGAGGTGAGCACCTGAGGGAAAGATCAGCTGCTCCCAAACATCTGAACTCTGCTGGTGAGAGAGAGAGAGAACTTGGTTAAGTTGCTTACATTAGCGTGGAGGTGCTTTGCGTGGTGCCAGCCTGAGAACATGCCTGGCTCTGTCCCAGGCAGTATCGGTTCCCACTTGGAACAAGGATAACAAAAATAGAAACTTTCTCCCTAGTGCTCGTGCCAGTTTGGCAGCCCTTGCTGCCAGCACCATCCCATAGCCTCTGGCTGGGGCTGCTCTTCCCAGCTCTGCAGCAGGCTGAGTTTCCTGGTGAAATCCCCACCAGTGGCACAGCTGCCAAGCAAATCCGAGAGCTGTAACCTCCAATCATTGCTAGAAAGGAGAACAGATGCAAAACCAGGGAGACAGTGGGAGAACTGGGCCTTGGATTGGTGCTCTCAAGGGACAGGGAGGGGTTTATCATTGAATCCTGCACTGCAGCCAGGGGTGAGGAAAACCCTGAGCCGAGGTTGTTGGCAGTGTGGTCTGCCTGTCACTGCCTTTGGGGCTTATCAAAGCAGCTTTGTGGGGACTCTGGGCCTTTGTGTGCAGGAGTCAGTAAAACAAGCCAGCATTTGTCAGCCTCTGAAGTGCATGTGACATCTGGGTCGTGACACAAACTGGAACTCCACTGGAAAAACAATTTTTTTCTACTTTTCCACATGCATAAATAATCAAAGACTTCTAGGCAGACCAGTGTTTAAAATTTGGTCTTTATGGGAGCTGACAGGCTGTCATGTGAGAGAATGACGTCTCAAAGTGAGTGTGTGTAGAAGCTTTTGCTTGTGCTCTTTTTAGGAAAATATTTCTTCCATCTGTGGAGCTCCTGGGAGCTGAGCCACAGTGCCCACTGGAGATCAGTCACTGCCTCTGTGCTTCCAGACCTCGTGTCTGTGTCACCACAGCAAGGCCAGTCACTCCACGTCCATTTCTAAATATTTTTTGGCAGCGAGAAGTGGAATCAAAGTGGTTTAGTGAGGGACAGCAGGGAAGGATAGTCTAGGAGAGAAGCTAAGAGGGGCTGCACTGTGCTCTTGTGCAGCTGTTTTCATGTCAGACCTGTAGGAATTGTCAAGAAGAGCCTGGATCAGGGAGCTCCAGGGTTAACATGGCCAAGAGGGATCCCTGCAGCACAGATTCCCACTGGGAGCTGCCCAGCTGCAGCAGCCCAGAGCTCAGCAGAGGCAAGTTTAAATCCTGGGCAGAATTTGCATCTGTTAGAAGTTCGGTGCTGCTGCAGCCATCCCTGTTCAAAGGTGTGTAGGTGTTGCTGCGTTCAGTTTTTGCCACAACAGCAAGGCAGACATTCCTTGGGGATTGCAAACACCTTGCTTGGCAGTGGCACTGACAATGCTGTCACTGCTGTGTGAGACACGGAGGGTGTGATTTCAGGGAGGGTGTGACTTGAGGACACACTGGCGGTGCCTTCAGAGCTGGTAGTTTGCTCACGCCGATATTCCAGCAGCTCCGCCCTGCCTTGTCTCTCTCTCCAATCTGTAGCTAATTAACCCGAAACCCAAACCACATTCTTTCTGTGGATGAATCACGCCGAGGCCATCGGCAATGACCAGCTTTATGCTAAACATCTCTCTTTCATGTGGGTGAGACAAGGCTGATGGTTCCCATACGTGCATCTGAGATTCATCTGTGAGCCAGATGCTCGAGGACAAACATGCACAAAGGATATGGGCTCCACAGTGTGCTCCAGCAGTGGGAATGTGCTGCTTGCTGCCTTTCCCTTTCCTCAGCCCTGTGACTCAAATCCGGTTTAATTTCTCATCCCAGCAACGGGGCCAGCCCAAGGCTCAGCAGACAGGGATGTGGGGCCTGTCCTACATAGTTTGCTGCTGCTGTGCCTGTGGGATGTGGCAGAGGATAAAAGCCAAACCCTCCTGGAGCTGGCAGTGCTGGAGCATGCGACAGAGTCCCCAGCTCTGGGACTGTCACAGGCACTGGAGGCTCAGACAGGGCAGCATCATTTTGTTCTGGGCCTCCTTGACTTTGCACAGGGATGGAGGGACAGGACACAGGGAATGGCTTCCCACTGCCAGAGGGCAGGGCTGGATGGGATATTGGGCAGGAATTGTTCCCTGGGAGGGTGGGCAGGGCTGGCACAGGGTGCCCAGAGCAGCTGTGGCTGCCCCTGGATCCCTGGCAGTGTCCAAGGCCAGGCTGGACATTGGGATTGGAGCAGCCTGGGACAGTGGAAGGTGTCCCTGCCATGGCAGGGGTAGGATAGGATGGGCTTTGAGGTCCTTTCCAACTCAAACCATTCCAGGATTCCCTGTGCACAGGACCATGAGAACACCTCACTGTCAGCACAGTGTGGACGTGCCTCTCCCGTGTCAGAGCAGCAGCTGATGTCATTTCTCTGTGTGGAGCACAGTGTCTTGCTAGACCTGAAGCCATCCCAGATGACTACACATGAAATGCAGATCTGCCAGGGGAATTTCAGGTGTGCAATGTCCCTTTTTCCTTCTGGAACATTGGAAGTCATTAACGAAACCACACTGTGTGTAATTAAAACTTTGTCTTTCCTGGGCTGCCATGAATAATCATTGTAACAGTTCCTTGCTAGATGTGAGGTGGATGTGCTGCAGAACATTTTCATGATCCATATCCCATCTTAATCAGGAAGGGGAATTTCTCAGCCACTGCTGTGCTTGGAAGGGAGAAAGGCCACAATGCTGTCTTGGTGCTCTGGTAGCAGGAGCCACCTATGAACCCAAGTAGCAATTCCCTTAAAATGAACCTTGTCTGTCTTGTGGCCAGGAGGGAGGTGATCACAAACTTCTCTGGCTGTGGTGGCTTCTAAGCTTTGTGTAAAAAGAGGGACATCCCATGGGACAGTGATCTCACACCTGGATTGTTTTGCCTTTGAGCCTGGTGATGCCCATGTGAGTTGTCTCTTCCAGATGTCACTTTGGGCTGGGGTCTAAATCCTGCAGCTGGAGGTGCAGACACAAAGTGGGGGGCTGGGCTAGGAGAGGGCTAGGTTCGAGCTATGCTGAGATTCTAAATTAATTCTATTAATTCATGAGGGTTTCTACCCCAGCAACAAAATTCACCTCTAAACCAAATTCACCTCCAGCTCAGTTGGCCTGAACCTTCTGGCCCTGAAGCAGCAGAGTGGATCCACGCATGGAAATGTCAAACTGGGAAAACAGGTCTGTTGGGACGACTCAGGCACGCACCAGTGAAGCTCCCTCGTTTTCCCCAGGGTACTCCTGGAGCTGGGAGCTGCTCGTGCCAGGAGGAGGTGGAGCTGGAGGGACACGGGGCTCTCTGCCAGGTGAAGGAGGATGAACCGATGCAATGCAGCCCGGGCTGGCTTTGTTGCTGGCTTTGTTGCCGGCAGCAGGGAGCACCTCGGAGCAGCCCAGCCCAGCCCAGGTGTGCTTGGAGCACCGGTTTTCCCTGCGAGGGGTTGGATTGAAAAAGGGAACAATACCCAGCCCCTGCAAAGGCTGCAGCAGCAGCAGCAGAGCTGGGGCCCGTTCCCCGAGCTGAGAACACCCGAGCCTGGCTCAGAGAACGCCAGGCAGACGGACCCTGCTGCTGGAGGCTGCTCCATGCCGGGAGCAGGAGGCGGATGTGGCGGGCAGCCAGCGTTTATTGCTTGGCAGCATCAACAAAACAGCTGCTGCTGCTCAAACGGCCATGAATGAAACCTCTGCTCCTCCGGCCCGCTGAGCACAGTCGGACTCTGTCCAGCCCTCAGGAGTAGCTGGAGATGTAACAAAGGTGAGGCAGCTCCTGGCTGCGTTACAGGGTTGGAGACACTTCCAGACAGCTGCTGGTCCCAGCAGAGTCCCGTGCTGGGACTTTCCCCGCTTGCAAGGCACGGCCAGGCTGGGAGCTGCTGGATGTTTGGATCCCATGATCCTGACAGCCTTTGCTCATCAAAAGGAGTCTGTCTCCCTGCTGCTGCCTGTGTGCTCCAGGCAGGCTCTGGGCTCCTCTCCCTGCAGCCTGACGAGCTCCCCTTGGGCTCAGACAGCGGTGGAGAGGAGGCACAACAAGGGTGCAGGGAAAAGGCCCAGCCTGGGGGCTGAAAACGGCAAAAGCATCAGAAAAGGGGGTGGAAATGAAGCTGGTGCATCTGCTCCAGCCCCCAGCAGCAGGGCAGCTCTCCTCCTTCCCATCCTGCCAGCTCTTGCCTGTGCAAGCAGCTCGGAAGAGATGTGACATTGATTTATTTAATTCTGAAATCATGGATCACACCCAAACCATGCTTCTGTGGTGAGACAGTTGGTTGTGCCTTTGGTGCCTGTTTCCTCTGACCATGCTGGTTCCTGTCTCACCTCCTCCCCTTAACAGAGCTTTTCTTTCCCAGGCACTGCCTTCCCCCACCTGGAGCACGCAGCCCTTTGGAACAGAAGGGGCAACACCTTCTCCCATTCTTTTGGATAATGAGGAAACCCCACGCTGTGGAGAGTGACCAGGAAAGGGCAGAGAATACCTTAATCTTTTGAAGAGATTTGTGTCTCCTTCGAAACTAGAAGGCAGTGTGAGATCTGAGCTTTCCTCAGTCCCAAGTTACAGGGAAGATCTGTGATCTGAAGATCTGAGCCCTTGATTTGGACTGCAGCAGGGAATGCTCCTCACTGTTCCACCAGGCTGGGAAAACCTGCACCTCAAGCACACAGAACAGGCAAGGGACAAGGGGTGGATTTTACTCGGATTTATTGAAGCAGCTCCAGGCTGAGTAATAAACACACAAAACTGCTGTATAAAAAAAGAAATAAATGTACAGAGCCAGCCCATGGGCAAAGTACTGTCACATGTTCTGCCATCCCAGGCTATACTGCTTGGGTGCTGTGAGTCCCAGCAGTGCAGTCCTGCAGCTGGTCAGGAGTGTCCTTTCTCCTTTCTACTATCACTGAAACCAAAAGAATCCCTCTGGTTATGGGGATCACATAAGTTAGGAGAAAACTTGGAAACCTTTTGCTGTCTCAAGGGACAGCACAAGCTGCCAGACTAAGGAGGTCCCTCCGTGCCTGCTCCCTCCCTGGCCTCACCAAGGGGATGGATTTGCAGAAGCAATTCAAAGCCAAAGCTGAGTTGCCTTGAGCCCTGCTGGTGCTGATGGGCTCCACGCTGGCTCCCAACTCACAGACTTCCAAGTGGGAGGAGGTGCTCCTGCTGCCTGCATGTTCCATCTGGATCCTCAGTCAAGGGAGGCACTTGGCAAAATCAGGTGTGAAGCCTGTGGAGCAGAGCAGAGTATTGTGAGACCAGGGCACAGCAACCCCAGCCCCACTCCTCAGGCCTCAAATCCCAGAGAAATCCCAGCAATGCCAGATGATTTCCCTCTACAGCCAGGAATTTTCTAAAGGTATCACTGGGTATTTTATTACAGTAAATAATTTTATTTAGGCAGTACAACTCTTACAAGGAGAAAAGAAAACCCTGCAGGGTCTGTGATTCACTGGCATCGTTTCTGCCAAAAGCCTTCAGAAAGGTTTAATTCCAGTTGCAAATGTTGAAAGTCAATCTCTGTGTAGCAGAAAAGCAATGGCATGAAAGGGACACCAGGGAATAATTAGAAGCAGAGAAACCCTGTGTTTATACATAGACAAGGCTTGTCTTATAAATGCAATTACCCACCATTCTGGGACTAAATCCCAGCTATAATCTTGTTCTGGCACCAGCTCACAGCCCTGGCGTCCCACAAGACATTTGGGTGCCACTGGCAGATTAAGCGTGGCACCAGGAGGAGGAGGCTGTGCTAAAAGCAGCAGCCGGAGCCGGTGGCACCATGGGGTCTGTCCCAGCTCCTGCAGACAGCCTGCCTGCAAAAACATCGACTCCTCCAGCCTCCTGACCCAGGGACGACACCCAATCCTCGCACACAGCATTCCCCAAAATCTTTGCACAGGCCAAGATGCCAGGTTAAGAGTCTTGTTATTTATACTGAACTTCTCCCTGCAGCGTTTCAGCACCTAGAGAGACCCTTCTCCTGCAGGGAGATCCCACACTAGCAGCCTGGAAGTTTTGGAGCTGATATTCACACAAGGCTGTTCTCTAGGACAACTCCAGTCCGGAGCCATGTGCATCCGCCCCTGAAGTTTTAACCTGATACAGAGGTTAAACAATCCATTTAAATACAATCCCTCTGGTTGACCCACAGCTATTTACCTTGCAGGTGCTCGGCACGCTCAGGCAGACAGGTACTTCCAGGTGCTGACGAAGGCGGTGGGGATGAGGGAGTAAGGCACCGTGGTGACGCTGCTCCAGGTGTCGGACGAGGGGTCGTAGCAGTCCAGGGTTTTGCAGCGCTGAGCCCCACAGTAGCCCCCGACCACGTAGAGCCTGTTACCCGAGGTGACAGCGCGGCAGCTGATGCACTTGGCCGTGACATCCCCGAACTTGGACCACTGGAAGGTGTCGCTGTGGAAGCGGTAAGCGGAGCTGGCGGAGAACTCGGTGTCCCCGCCGATGACAATGACGTGGCTGCCCACCACGGCGGCCGCCGTGTAGCGCCAGGGCTGGGGGCAGCTGGTGGGCACCGTCCAGCGGTTCTGGCAGGGGTCGAAGCACTGCACCTTGGGCAGCTTGTTCTGGTTGGCGCTGGTGCCCCCGAAAACAAACAGCTTCATCTTGGCTCCCACCACGGCGGCGTTGCTCACACCTTCCCGGAGAGGAGCCACCAGCGACCACTTGTCCAGCTGAGGGTCGTAGTGCTCCACTTGCTTGAGGGACACGGAGGGAGAGGCTGGGAAGGCCCCACTCATGGCCGTGTGACCCCCCACCACGTACAGGCAGTGGTCCAGCTCGGCGGAGCCGTGGCCAAACCGCGCCACCAGCATGGGAGCAGCTTTGGCCCACTCGTCGTGGAGGGTGTCGTACACCCAGACGTCCTTGGAAGCGCCGTTCTCGGAGCCCTTGCCCCCGGTGATGTAAACCTTGCAGCCGATGGCGCAGGCACTGCACTCCTTGCGGGGGCTGGGGATGTCTGCACGAGGGATGATCTCGCTGGTTTTATGGTCCAGCATGTAAATCTTGTCACACATGAAGGTCTGGCCCCCGAGCAGCAGCAGGGCCTGGCTGACCTTGCGGGGCCGGGCGCAGCACCCCGTCACCAGGCCGTCGTTCTGCAGGATCTTCATCTTGCAGCGCACGGCGTCGGCCACGATCTCCTCCCCCAGCTTGTGGCTGGTCACCAGCTTCTCACAGGCCACCTGCTTCCGCAGGTAGGACTCGGGCAGCAGCGCCAGGCGGACGGAGCGCAGCAGCTCGGGCAGAACTTCGTGGCGTCGGGGCAAATCATAGCGGATCCAGCCTATAACGGCTTCATAGACCAGCGTCTCATCCTCCACCTCCAGCTCCTCGCTCTCCACCAGCTCCAGCAGCTTGTCTTTGGGCAGGCGGAGGAAATCTTCAGTCTTGCACAGCGAGGTGAAGTTGGCCAAGGCCATCCTCCAGGACAGCTCCAGCAGCCGCTCGCAGCAGTGGGCATCGGACAGCAGCAGCATGTTCAGGCAGTTCCCGGGGTAGAGATTCTTCTCCAGAAAGTCAGCCGAAGCATCCCGGATGTCCTGGAACTGCAGCATGTCCCCGGCCTCCAGCAGGGACTCAGCGTTCTCCTCGTTGATCAGCACCCGGGCTGAGTAAGCGTAGTCCAGCAGCAGCTCCAGCACCTCGGGGTGCAGCGAGTCGTGGAAGTTGACCTCGGCATCTCTGCTCTCCTTCAGGCCCCCGCTGAACATGGCATTGAAGTAGCGGCTGCAGGCGGCCAGGACGGCGCGGTGGCAGGGGAAGCTCTGGTTCCCCGCCCGCAGCACCACGTCGGTGAAGAGGTTCTGCTGGCGGAGCAGGTTCAGTTGGGTGAGGAGGCTGTCGGCGTGGCCCGGTTTGTGGAAGAGGTGGATGTTCATGGAGCCTGAGCTCGAGCGGGATTTCCGGTTCTCGTGGCTGCTGACGGACATAGTGCTGAGGCCGCTCTGCGGGGCAAAACCGGCGAGTCAGCACGGGCAGCGCGGCCCCGGGCCCGGCACGGCCGCGGAGAGGAGCCGGTACCGGCCGGTAACGGGAGCGCGGCGGGGCCGTCCCGCAGCCGCGGGGCACCGACCGAAACGGGACACCCGGAGCTCCTGGACCAGACACCCGTGCAGGGCACGACTCCACCGGGCCTCGCGTAGTACCGGGGAGGGGGCGATTGCGCTGCCGGTGATGCCCGCGCCCAGCCCGCTCCGCGGTCCCGCACCGGGCTCCGCGGGTTCCCACTTGGCTCAGAGGTCCCGCACCCGTACCCGCGGTGTCCTGGACCCACCCGGCTCCGCTGTCCCGCGCCTGACTCAGTTATTCTGCACCCGGCCCCGCGGTCCCACACCTGGTCCGGTTGTCCCGCACCGTCCGCCCTATCTCGTACCCGGTCCTGTACGCGATCCCGCACCTGGTCCCGTACCCGGTTCCGCACGGTCCCCGCTATCCCACAACCGGTTCCATACCCGGTCCCGTACCGTCACCACTATTCCGTACCCGGTTCCACCCCGTCCCCGCTATTGTGTACCCGGTTTTGCACCCGGTCCCCGCTATCCCGTACCCGGTCCCGCACGGTCCCGCACGGTCCCCGCTGTCCCGCACCCGGTTCCGCACCCGGTTCCGCGCCCGGTTCCGTGCCCGGTCCCGCCCGGTCCCGCTCCGCTCCGGCTCTGCCACCGCCCCGCCGACGCCGCGTGGCCGCCCCGCGCCGGCCCCGCCCCCGCCCGCCCCGCAGCCAATCAGCGGCCGCGGTGCCCGGCGCTCGCTCTTTGTGAATGGGAGGCGGGGCCGGCCGTGCGCATGCGCCTCCGGCTGCCCCCGCCCTGCCCGCGGGCGGCGTGGCCGTGTCCCCTCCCCACGTGTGCGGTGTCGCCGGTGACCCGCGGTGTCCGCCGGTGTCCCCCGGTCCCAAAACATCGCGGCACGGCCCGGGTCAGCTGCTCCACGGGGCCGGGACGGCGGATCTGAGGCTCCCGAGCGCGGCCGAGCTTTGCGGACGGACTCACCCCGCCATAAAGGGCCATAAACGGGACAGTGCGCCGGGATCAGCAGCGCCTGCCCGCGGCCTTTGGATCCCCGCTGCTGACAAAGGCAGGTCATGGCCCAACAAACCAGCCCTGCTCAGCGAATGTCCTGCATGGAGCCCACCTGGGAGATGTGGAGCCCGGCCCATCATCCACATCACCAACACCAGCGCAGGAGGCTTTCCTCGCCAAGGGAAGGAATTGTCACCCTCTCTCAGGAGTGAGAGACGAGTTGGGCTGATGGTCACATCAGAAGAGTAAAAAACCACCAAGTTTTGGGAGGATTGGGTCTGCCTGCACAAGGTCTTGTGCTAAAAATGAGCGAGTGCTGCCCTGGAGAGGCAGCAGCAGCCACCGCAGGTGTTTAAACACTGTGTGTCAGCAGAGATCAAAACCACCTCAAGAAAAAATACAAATTCCAGAAATTCTGAATTACCCAACTTTGATTTATCTCTGCACGTTGCAGCTTTACCAGCTGCAAATTAAGGTCACTTGTGAAGGAACTGATGAAGTGAATGCACTTAGAGCAGTTTACAGTGTCCTTTCTCTACATTAAAATTAATGCATGATTAAGAGGTTTATTAATTTAGCATCAGAAGTTATGTGGGGTTTCTTGGTTTGGGTTTTTTTGGTTTTTTTTTTAATTGGCAGAGCTACACTTGTCCTGTGCTGAGCAGTACAGTGAGTCCTGGAGGAATGATTCAGTGGGGTTAAGAATACAAAATAAATCTGATTTAATATTAAAAAACACTAAACTGCAGCAGAAGCCACAACAGAGGGTGACAGGACCAGGCAACAGCCAGAGCTGTCCCTAAGCAGAAGGACTTGGGTGCTCCCCCTCTTCAGGCACGGGGCTGAGAAAAGGAGAGAGAAAACAAGAGTCTCCTCCAGGTAAGCCCTGAGCTGCACCAAAACCTGTCAGTCTGGCAGCAAATCCCCAGCACAGCCAGGAAGGCTTCCTCAGGGACACTGCAGGGTGAAGGTCCAGATAAACACCAAGGACAGGGCAAAGGATAAAGAGTATCCAGGCCTCACTTTGCTCTTTGAACACAGGCAGGACACAGCTGCCCGTGTGCAGGCCGAAAACAACAACACAAACCAAGGTCAAACCTCCTGGAAGTGCAGCATGTGCCATGCTGGGGGCAGGGACACGCAGACTAAGCAAAACTCTTTTCAATGGATGCATTTCCATGGCAGTCAGGCAGGGGCTGGGAATTATTTCAGCAGGAGGAAGGCTGGAAACACGTGCACTAATGCTTTGGAGCTTTCCAGGACCAAAGATAAAGAACTTCTCCCTGTTATCAGGAGGAATGATCACTCAAGGACACCTTTCAAGTATTTGTGTCTTTTATTACTGGTAACGCCCAGAACTGTACTGCAAACCCCACCTTGGCATTAGTTTGATTGCTCCTTTGAAAGGTGATTAATGAATGTCCTGCCTTTTTTTTTTTTTTAAATAAAAAAAAGGTCCGTTGGCAGCTGCCGGAGCCTGGTGGAAGAGCTCCACCCGGCGGCATTCCACAAAGGCACAGCTGGAGCCTCAGCTCCGTGGGAAGTCCAACATTTCTCCTTAAACGGGCAAGGCAGGCTAGGAAGGTTCAGGCTGCTCCCAGTGACAATTTCCTGCCCCTCTCACCTCTGAGAAAACACAACTGTCACAAACAACACCCCTGCTCGCTCCTGTCTGAGCTCTGGGCATCAGCTCTGAGCCCAAACCCCAAAATATCTGGATAACTCCCATCCCTGGCTCAGATGCAGCACCAAGCACCGAGCAGAGAGTGAACTCACAGGATTCATCCCTCTGACAGAACCGTGCCCACTGTGCTCCTTTAAGTAGCAGAAAACACTGGGAGGTTGCATTGATCTTTTGGGACAGATGGAAGCAACTCTTTTCCCCTCATTTTTACCCACTGTAGGAGAGTCTTGATTTTCAGAGGATCACCTGAATTATTTCTCTGATGAAGAGTGATAAAAATTGTCAGCTGCAAACAATCCCCTCTGCAACAGGCATCTGGATTCCAGTCCCGATTATGGGATATCTGGAATGACAATCATCAACCCAGGAAAGTTAAAATACACCCTGCCTAGGCACTAAAGGCACTTTTACCATGTGAAAACTGGGCTTGTGAAGCTCAGTTATGGCTTAAGCAGCTTCAGAGTTTGCTCCTCTTGATGCCTGGTAAATTCCAATCAGGGATGAGATGGTCCCCAGGAGTCCTACTAACCATGGAGGGAATCTTCCTGCCCAGAGGAATCCTGGAGGCAGCCAGTGGATTGCGTTGGAGAGATCTGCTGTGTCCATGAGGATGCTCAGAACTTCAGCCCTCACCTGGGCTCTCAGTTTCTGCTGGCTCTGAGGTGACGAAGTGCTGCTGGAAAAAAAAGATGATATTAGTGACAGTCCACAATGTTCTATTAACTGTGATGGCTACAGATGAGAACTGACAGATGTGGGTGAGTTACAGGAAAGATGGAGAGGGACTTTGGACAAGGGCATGGAGGGACATGACACAGGGAATGGCTTCCACTGCCAGAGGGCAGGGCTGGATGGGATATTGGGCAGGAATTGTTCCCTGGCAGGGTGGGCAGGGCTGGCACAGGGTGCCCAGAGCAGCTGTGGCTGTCCCTGGATCCCTGGCAGTGTCCCAGGCCAGGCTGGACATTGGGATTGGAGCAGCCTGGGACAGTGGAAGGTGTCCCTGCCATGGCAGGGGTGGCACTGGATGGGCTTTGAGGTCCCCCCCATCCCAAACCATTCTGGGATTGCATCATCAGCTCTACAGCCACGGAGGGAAATCATACCACTTGTGCTGGCTCAGTTTTCTTCTTAACTGGAACAAGATTCTCAGTGATCTGAAAAGAACAGAGTTATTTCTCCAACAGCACCAAACAGAAGGGTTTTTTTATTCTTGCACTAACTGCTTCAGTGAGGAAGAGCACTTCCCACAGCTTTGTAATACCCCGTGCCCATCCCGGCCATACCGCAGGATGCCCAGGAGCAGGGCACAGCCCCACAGCGCCGTGCTCCGCGTCCACCACTTCTGGGAGCCGGCGCGGACGATGCCGACATCCGCCGCCCACGCCAGGTGCTCGCAGGGGTAGTAGAGCTGGTTGGCCACGTTGCAGAGCACCGAGAGCCCCCGCACCAGCGCGTCCTCGCCCTGCGGGGAGCGGCACATGGGGCACGGCCGCGGCACAGGAGCCCGGGGGGCTGCGGGGGCCGCGGGGCCGCGCTCACCTCGGGGCCCAGCCCGTAGCTGCAGCTGTGCCGGAGCATGGCCAGGTCGTCGAAGAGGCGCAAGGCGGTGCGGCAGGAGCTGAGCTGGGCAGAGGCGGCCAGGAGCCCCCCGGGCAGCCCCGCGGGCCCGGGCAGCGCTGCCCCCGCCAGCTGGCAGCCGTAGCACAGCGCCCGGACCTGCGGGCCCCAGGGAAGGTGATGCTGGAACCAGGGCTGGTGATCTCTTTTTTTTCTCTTTCTCCTCTCTTTAATCCTCATTTTTTCTTCCTCTTGTCCTCTTTCTTTCTCTTCTCCTTTCTCTAACCCCATTGCCCTGTGCTCCGGGACTCCCATACCCATTCCCTCCCGCGCGTCATTTACCGGTAAAACTTGGATTGCTTGTGGACCCTCTGCCTTTTGTCCTTCCTTTCCACCAGTGCGGAAAGTATTTAAGGATCTCCCAGGTGCTTCCTTCCCCTTAAGGGTGGGTCGCTACAGCAGAGTCGGGTCCTGTCGTTCACCGCCCGGTACCGGCGGGCTTAGACCCTTCATTCACCGCCCGGTACCGGAGGGCTCAGATTCCCCTCTTGTCATTCACCACCCGGTACTGGAGGGCTCAGACTCCCCTCCTCACTCGCCGCCAGGTACCGGAGGGCTCAGACCCCTCACTCACCGCCCGATCGCGGCCCCGGTGCGTTTCCAGCGCCGCCACGAGCCCCCCGAGCGCGCCCGCCGCCATGGCAACACTTCCGGGTGGGAAGTCACGTGAGGACGCGGGGCACGCCGGGAAGGAGGCAGAGCTGTCGCCATGGCAACGCGGCCTGGCTGCCCCGCGGCCCAGCCGGGCAGTGCCCGGGGCTGGTGACCGACCGGGGACGGTGCCCGAAAGGGGCTGGTGACCGACCGAGGATGGTGACCGACCGGGGATGGTGACCGACCGGGGATGGTGCCCGGCTGGGTCCCACTGCCCCTCACGGCCTCCGCACGTCTCCAGCGAATCCTCCGTCAGCCCTTTTCTCACCCGGTTTCCCCGTTCTGAGGGGTTCTAGGCCGGCCCCGCCGCTGCGGTGGTGCTGGGCCGGGCCGGGGTTGATTCAAACAAATCTGGGAAACCCGGCTTTAAGAGGCCCTTGCCGACGGCGGTCCCGTTGTGCCCTGACGGTCCCGTGTTCACATGCACACGGATCTGTCACCTGGGAGACAGGGAGATCTTCCCCTGTGCCACCTTCAGAGACCTCCCAGCCCCCGGCTGAGTGATGGGACGGGAACATTCTGTTTGGAGACAGAAATCGGGTTCTCTCCATCCTCCTACACCTTCCCTACTCAGCACATGACTCCCACCCGCTTCCTCCCGGGCTCCAGTGGGTCCAGTGCCTGGGCACAGAGTCACTCTCACAC